TCACAGGCCTCCACTTGGACATTGAACCGTTGACCACAACTCTTTGAGTGCGACCATCCAGCCAATTCCTTATCCACCGAGTGGTCCATCCATCAAAACCATGTCTCTCCAGTTTAGAGACAAGGATGTCGTGTGGGACAGTATCAAATGCTTTGGATAAGTCCAGGTAGACGATGTCAGTTGCTCTTTGCCTATCCATCAATGCTATAACCTCATCACAGAAAGCCACCAAATTAGTCAGGCAGGATTTGCCCTTAGTGAAGCCATGTTGGCTGTCATCAACCACCTCCTTATTTTCTATGTGCCTTAGCATAGTCACCAGGAGGATCTGCTCCATGATCTTGCGGGCACAGAGGTGAGACTGACTGGCCTGTAGTTCCCTGGGTCTTCTTTTTTCTCCTTTTTAAAGATGGGGCCTATATTTCCCCTTTTCCAGTCATTGGGAACTTCACCAGATTGCCACGACTTCTGAAATATGATGGATAGTGGCTTAGCATCTTCATCTGCCAGTTCCCTCAGGACCCGCGGATGCACCTCATCAGGTCCAATGGACTTGTCCACCTTCAGATTCTTTAGATGGTCTCAAACCTGATCTTCTCCTACAGTGGGCAGTTCTTCATTCTCCCAGTCCCTGCGTTTGCCTTCTGTGACTTGGGCTGTGCAGCTGGAGCTCTTGCCAGTGAAGACTGAGGCAAAGAAGTCATTGAGAACCTCAGCCTTCTCCATATCCCGGATAGTCAGGTCCCCCGTTTCCTTTTGGAGAGGGCCTACATTTTCCTGGATCTCTTTTTATCACTGACATATCTATAGAAGTTTTTCTTGTTGCTCTTGATATCCCTGGCCAGATTTAACTCTATCAGGGCTTTAGCTTTCCTAACCTGATCTCTGGTTGCTTGGATAATTTCTCTGTATTCTTTCCAGGCTACCTGTCCTTGCTTCCACCCTCTGTAGGCCTTCTTTTTGTGTCTGAGCTGGTCCAGGAACTCCTTGTTCATCCATGCAGGCCTCCTGGTGCCCCTACCTGACTTTCTCTTTGTTGGGATGCACCGCTCCTGAGCTTGGAGGAGGTGATCCTTGAATCCAGCTTTCTTGGGCCCCTCTTCCCTCCAGGGCTTCATTCCATTGCACTCTACCGAGGAGATCCCTGAAGAGGCTGAAGTCTTCTCTCCTGAAATCCAGGGTAGTGAGCTTGCTGTGTATCTTCCTTGCTTCTCTAAGAATCTTGAATTCCACCATTTCATGATCACTGCAGCCAAGGCTGTCCTTGAGTGTCAAGGACATCCTGACATCCTTAATTCACCCTTATGAATCCTGACTAGATGTCAGGAATCCAGAGTATTCCACAAGTTGTGTCCCTTAATACATCTTTATATTCTGCATTCCTCATTATATTCTACTCTTAGCAGAGCTTTGGGGGGATCGCCTCATTGCCAAGTGCTTCAGTAGCATTTAGCACACATCCTTTGAAATCTCAAGGCTCTGGGCAGTCTGTTTTGGTCTTAGGATGGTAACAAGCAAAAAAAAGGAAAAGTCTGAGCCAGTATTACAATGCTGTCCTCTCTGTGCCTAATAATACTCATTTCCTCTCGAGACGAGATACATCATGTATGTCTAAAACCCTCAGCCTATCCCAATTTACAAATTCTGGTACAGCTGTAGGTTTAAAGAGCCAGCCAAAATTAATTATGACAGATTAAGGAACAGAGCAACACACTGCAATGGCCTTTTGTTTAACTGAAACATCTGATCCAAACCAAGCAATCTCCACCCCTTGTTAAGCTCTTGCTTGTCTTGTTCACCATCTCTAGTGTTTTTCTGCTGAGCACCATCATCCGAGCATGGTTTACTCAGATGTACCCAGACTGCCATCCAGCAGCTTTGCCAGTGATAGCACTGGCTTTGGCTGAGACAGCCAAGAAAGCAGGTTTGTAGGGAGCCCAGCACCTGCAGGGCTGCACAAGTGGGGTTTTTTGTTTGTTTTCGTTGTTATCAGGCTTTTGTTCCATTTAGAGTTGGAGGGAGAAAGGGAAAATTAAATCCTCTGCTCATGCCAGAGAAAAATGTATTTATTTTAGCTAGGTACTGTCTCTTCTCTTCTTTTCCACTCCCCTTTTTCCTTAAATGAGAGGCTAAGGTAGACAGACAGATGATTTTGCTTGTACAATAAATGCCATACATCTCAAAAGCTGGTAAGACAAGGAGCTAGTGCCATTTTTCCTGCTGTATAGTCAGAAGGACCTGAGGGAGGAAACAGCAACATTATTTCCCCCAAGGCAGTGGTACAGCAGGGACAAGATCCCACGTTGGGGAGGTAAATTCTGCCTTTACAAAGCCAAAACTTATGTAGCTTTTTTTTTGTTTTAAAACTATTATTCAGTGTCTAAAATGAATAAAGAACACCATTTGGTTATCAAATACAAGTAAATCTGCAAGGTTTTACCCCTCTTCTCATTTTGTTTGGAAGTGTCTATAGAAAACAAGGCAAGGCCATGGCCAGCTCTTTTCTAAATTCCTGTTTAGCAGAAGAGGAACCGGATTGCTATGAGACAAAAGAATGCAAATTTACCCAGGGGCTGAAGATGACAGTAGCTCACTTGGGCCATTAGCTCTTTGGGAAACGAGCCCCAAGTGCACCCTTACAGGATCCTTCTCCAGACTGTCTCTGACCACAGCAAAAGTCCCTTTCCACTGGATCCTCCAGAGAAAAAAGTAAGCCACATAATCTGCTTCGTTCCCCTCCTCCCTCTGTTATTCTGCTATATCTGTTACTTGCTAAAGAAGCTGAAGAAACAATTAAGATGCTTCAGAAAAAGCAGATAATTTCTCACACGCAGTGCTGAGTACCCAGCAGATGTGACTCAAGATACACACATGCTGTTTTCAGGCAAGTATTCCCAAGGGTTTAGATAAAAATAATAAGGATGAGGAGTTTCAGCAGAAATCTAGTTATTTTTAAGGGGAAGAGCTCTAGGGGGTATTAGAAGAGCTCCCTGAAAATGCCATCGTCTTCTTGTGAGGAGGATACCACAGCATGAATTTTGTATAATTAAAAAAATTAAGCCAGTAGCCAGGCTAGACAGGGATTCTGGCAGAAAAGTGGTAAAGGGGGTTACAGCAAATTGCATTGGTACATCAGACACCTTCTGATTTACTAGAGGTTTTCAAGGCAGAACAAATGAGCTGCCTACAGGGAGCTCTTCACCCCCAGAAGAAGCAGCAGGTCTCAAGAGCCAGGATTTGGCCCGGATGGTTTTGGTCACCACAGTTCAGCCAAGAAGGAAACGATACAGCAGGAGAAACGCTGCGATGGTCTGGAGGCAGATCTTGGTTGACACAGGGTGTTGCAACCTTACTGAAGCCAATATAAGAGTCCATGAAAGATATTTCTTCCCAATATCCCGCTCCTTAATCCAGCCCCACCATCTGCCATCACTCAAAAGAGGACGGCGGCAGTGGAGCCAGCGTTATGGTAAGCAGCATGCTGAGCCAGCCGCAGGCATTTGCCATCTTCTGGCCGTGATGAAGACTGGACAAATTAGGGAAATGTTTTCATTAGCTGCATTCACCTGAAAAATAACCAGCAGCCAACTCCTATTTCACAAGGTGGCCTGACAAATACTCAAGAAACGAAATCCAGTGGCAAATGGATTGCAAAGACAAACATAAACAACGAAGTCTGTGATGATCCACCATATTGAGCAGATCGTTGACACCCAGCACCAGGATTTTCTGTGCTCAGACACACAAATCTCAGGCGTTCATACCCTCCCAATACTTCAACTCATGCCCGTAAAACATATCTGAATAGGATTCAAGCTGATGAAAAGCAAGTTGCTACTTTTAAAGGGGTTTGGTGACCCTGTGAATGGAGCCGATGGCTTCAGTCCAGCAGATGACAATCCATTAAATTAAAGCAAAAATTGCCACTGCAATTCCTAGTGCCAGCAAAGGCGGGAGAGAAAATGCGGCTCCTCTAGGATGTGCACAACCATATTTCTGGTGCTCAGATGGTGGCTTGAATGGCTGCAGGTTTTTTGCTTTGCTTTTTCATAGGGCATAAAGATATTTAGTCTCCACTGTTTTCACGGAGACATTTTAGATATACTAAGCTTATGAAGAGATACATCCCACTTGAATCATTTTCAAAACACCTCTTCCTTTCAAGTCACCAACTCCCAGCAAAGCAGGGAGAAGAAGAAACGAAGAAACATTGAGCCAAAGCCCATAAACAGATTTTTTTTGTGTGTGTGCGAGATGAGCCTGGGAAAAGCAAAACAATTCATCTACCCAGAGCGGCTTTGCAGGGAAAGGTTAAGGAATAATAAAGAGGGATTTACATCACACCACTTTACACGCATTTATGAGGGAGAAATTCAACACCCAGATAACAAATTCAGTTCAGGCTTTGCTTCCTCTCTCCCTTCCCTCCCCCTCAAAGATGACATACCCTTCCATTTGTAAATTACTTTAATTTAAATACTTCCAGGTTAACAAAACATCTTAAGTTTGACATGCCCCAAATTACAAAACAGAAACAAAACCTCTTGACAAAGGGTAAGAAAAAAAAATAATCCAAGCCCAAACCTCCTTTCCTAAGCTGGAGTTTATGGTCTGTGAGCTGGCTGCCCTCCAGAGTCTGACACAATGTCTGGAGCACCCAGAGCAGCTGGAAGTCATTTTCTTCCTCCAAATCTATGCACTTTCATATGAAGTCGTGTTTTGGCACTGCTGCGTAAGAGAGAGTTCAGTGCAAAAAATCTAACCCCGTCCGTGTTTCTTTGCAACCCAACACTCGCTGAGCAAACAACAAAAAAGGAGAAGAGAAGAAAAAAAAAAAAAAAAAAAAAAAAAAAAAAAGAGAGAGAAAGAAAAGAAAAGCCCTTTCCCTTCCCCCACACATACACAGACTGTACCAAACAGGGGGGCTATTCACGGCTGTTCAGAAATGGGTCACAAGGAGAAAT